TCCAATTGAATGTCTCAAAAAGAGGAACCCATCGACACCAAATTCGATCAAATCCGATCCCAAATGGATCCAAATCGAGGACCCAAAACACGTTGGAAGGTTCAAATCATAAATTTCATGATTAAATGATATCCAAATGTGACATGCTTATAGTGAAATCGAGCAGCTCGATGGAACAATCCAACAAGCACAAGATCACCAAATTCTGACATCATTAAGATTCTTAAATACTTGATAAACGGTCCATGATAAAGGGAGTTGATATCAGTCGTCCATTCAAAACACTCCCAATACGCTCTTGATTTCTCTTTATTTACTAGCCACGCGACTCCAAAAAACTAAAAATAGACCCACTATTCTTCATTGAGGGAAGGAGGAAGAAAAAGAAAGAAGAGGAGAAGAGCTTTGAGGCTTGAAGAATCCTAAAGCTTCACCCCAGCATCACCGTCGATGGTTCAGCACCACCAAGCCGTCATTACTGAACTTCTGGTTGACCATCATCATCGATCCTCCACTTGGTAGCCACTAACAAGTTACTCCAATCACTGTCACACATCGACTACGGTTTCTCTGACCAGTGTCGCTAGACTATAGTCTTTCCGACCTCTATCGCCCATTGACTACAGTCTCTCTGACCATCATCGCCTAACTATGACCATCAACCCCCGAATACATTCATTTCGACCTTTTTCACCCACCGACTATGATCTCTCCAACCACTATCATCAGACTAATGTTTCTCCGACCACCATCGCTCGACTACGGTCCTTCTAATCTCCATCTCCGGACTACAGTTCTTCTGACCTCTTTCGCACATTGACTACGGTTCCTCCGAACTCCGTTGCCCGTTAACTACGGTCACTCCGACCATCATTACCCGCCTAATACGGTCCCTCCGACCTCCGTCTCTCACCGATTGTAGTCTCTATGACCAACATTGCACGTTGACTATAGTCATGTCGATCAAATGAATAGGTCAACATTGATTCTTCCAATTTTAATCATCTAATGCACTCTATATGATATATATTTGCTACAATGATCCAAAACCTTCCCCTAAAGGAAGGGTTTCATTTGTAATAAAATGCAAACACTAGTAGGTTCATTCAAACTGAGCAGGGCCCCGTGATTTTCTGCCCTTTTCAAAGGTTTCTATGTTAAAAACTTTAGTGTCTCTCATTTATCTGTTTGTGTGTTGGATCTTCGATCAAAACTAAGACGCTAAACTTTATATCCCTCTACCATCGAGAATATTCCAGGACACAGTAATTATCATTATTATTATATGCATGATATTTTTGTTTATAAATACTACATTTATGTGATAGTATTAAATATTTTTAGAAATAATTGGAACAAAATTTGCATAATTTATAATTTGTGATCAAACGATATCAACAATAGATCTAATATATGTGATAAAATATATAATATTGTTCTTCGACTATATATTATTGGAAAAAAGTTGAAAGTTTGGACTTTATATGCCTCATAATATATATTGGAAATTGACCTAATAAATATACTCATTTAATTGTAGAAATATAATTGAAAGTTCATTTTATGCAAAAATACTCTCATTTTATAGAAATAATCAAAACCCTCACGCAACAATACACAAATATTTGAAGTTTTGAACAAGAATATCTTGCTCTTCTTTGCACCTTTTTTTTTATTTCTGATGATATATGAGCACATGTAAGCTATCTGCAATGGCTCTTTTCATGCTATATGTTTAAGGTTAATGATGGTATATGTTTTGTTTTTATGGTTTTAATACATTATTCATGCCGTAATGAAAATGGTCAAACCTAGTTTACAGTTTCAAACATGGTTCAAACATTGTTCTCATTTTTGGTAGGATTCTAACAATATTCAAAGAAGATTATAACAATATTCAAAGAAGGTTCGAACAAAGTTTTAATAAGGTTCCACTATTATTCATTCAAGGTTAATAATGTTTGGACATGGTTGAGACAAGATTCAAACATGGATTAACAATGATCAAAAATAATTTGAGGAAGGTTCAAACAATGCATTATCTTTTTGAAATTGATTCTACAAATTTTGACCATGGTTGGAATAAGTTTCAAATAGGATTTTGATCATGATTCAAACCATATTATTTTATATGCATTATCTTTTTGAAATTGACTCATTTGCATTATTTTATCATGCATAAAGGTGCCCAATTTAATTATATATGTAGAAAGGTTTTACATTACTTCGGTCATATATAGAGTTAAGAGTATGATGGAGAAAATAGTTAAGCAATATAAAGCAAATGATCTCATGGTTAAGGGTCATAGATCCCTCTTTAGTTAGTTCTTCAAATCTCCTGAATCATAGCTGCTAGGAATTTGATCCATTAACTTTATTAAAAATTATTGATGGTGATGAGAATGAGAGATATCTATTATATTTAATATTGGAGGGAAGAATGCATCATTTAGAGATACTAAATTTTCTTTGATGATCAATTGTTAGAAACCTGTCTCCTACTCCCAACAAGGTAAAGAAATCACTCTCCTTCGTGGGTAATGGAGAAACCCTACACCACTTTTCTCCTCAAAAAGTCACTTCTCCTTAGCCTCCTCAACTAGATCCAAGTCTTCCCACCATGACTCACCAGAACTCTTATCACAAGAACCTTTACAATAAATAAAGGAAGGAACGAAGTAGATTTGACTAGGAAATCTTTGGTGAATATTTCACCCACTGTTTTGATCTATCCCAAAAAATCTCTCAAAGTCTCTCTAATCTCTCGCTTAAAACCCTCTTGAAAGTTTCTCTCTAAAAGCTCACACAAGCTCTTAACCTCTCATGTCAAGATTAAAAAAAAAAAAACTCAATCTAAAGCACTCTAGAATTCTTAGGTTTTGATATTTATAGTTAAGGCTCTAAAAAAAATCCTAAATAAGTTGTTTATGACAATTGTTGCCATGATTGTACAGTATGGTCCATAGATTGTACAATATGATTAATATAAGCTCTCTAAAATTTTGAAAATTATTTTTTATTAGATATGACTGAACCATATGGATCATACATTTCAATTAGTTCAATTTTTTTTTTGCTTCAGAGCATAAAATCATCTAGCTTGAACAAATAGCTTACAAAGATCCTCCAAAAAGCTCTTTGTTTGCTCGACATGTATAATATTGATCATATAGTATGAAATATATTCCGATTCGACTTTTTGATTTTATGTCCTAAAATAGGTAAATATTTAAACAAGATGTTTAAATGTTTTTTAGTACAAACATATTCATCTAGTACAAACTGATCAAAATTTGAATTTACCTATTTCTAGAAATTAAAAAAAAATGGAAAGTTTAATTTCAAATAACAAATCATATTGGATGATATCATACAATATGATTTGTTATTTCAAAATTTGATTTTAATTTTTTATTATTTAATATCGCTTGATTTTCTAATTTTCAAAAAATTATCTTAGTAATATTGCATTGTAGGATATATGTTGTACAATATGATTAATTAGAGACCAAGTGCATAATTAACCTTCAATTTTTTTGCCCTCAATGTATTTTCACTCTTTTTTGTGTGTGTTTGATTTTTTAGCACAATTTATTCATTTATATAAGTAAAACTAATTCATTGATCCCCTTAACCGATAATGAAGGGCAATTGTCTATTTTTGGAACTTTTATTTGGTTCGGTGAACGTAAGTAGAGGAACGTCCGGTCGGCACTAAAATCCCTCCAAAAAACTCGGTATTTGCTCGGTATTGCTAGGCATTATTTGGTAATAATGAGGAATACCATTATGTGAAGACCCAATACCGAGTTATACCAAGCTATACCGAGTTATACAAAAAAATACTGAGAAAAACTCGGTATTTTTTTGTATAACTCGGTATTGCTCGGTATAGCTCGGTATAACTCGGTATTGAGTCTTCACATGATGGTATTCCTCGTTATTATTTGGTATTGCTCGGTATTTGCTCGGTATTTCTCGTTTTTTGACACAATTTTAGCTCCGATCGGATGTAGCTCTACATTCGGTCGGAGGACGTAATAATTGTTCCTATTTATGGCACCTTACTCATATAAAGGAGAATATTTTTTTTTTTTTTTTTCTTTTTTATGATTGGTATCTCTATCACATAAGTAGCTGAAAGTTATGCTCAAGCGGTGTCAGCACCTTATCATATATTTCTTCCTCAAGCGGTGCCTATTTATTGCTTGTTTCTCAAAAATTTATACAACAAAAAATAATTTCTTACAACCACATCTGCTAAAATATAATAATTATAAAAGAATTATTATTTAAAAGATAAAAGAGTTAGAATGCTTATAATAATTTACAAAAATATTATTTCACATAATAATTCTCTCACTTCTGATACAGCACCTTAAGCTGGCCATTCATTGGATTTTGAAAGTTATTATTGGCATTAATGTTTCATTTAGGATGGTTTTCTGACTATTTTTTAAAGCAACTTTCTCGTACAAAAATTTCATATTCAATAAATTTGTATGTTAAAAAGTTGTTTTAGAAAGCAATAAAAAAGTCATCCTAAAAGCTTCGGCTTCGTTTGAGACGACTTTTTTATTGCTTCTAAATACATCTTTCTAATTTAAAAATTAAAATTTGTATACTATAAAACTGTTTTAAGAGACCCTAAGAAAGTCGTCCCAAATGAAGTCTTCAGCTTCGTTTGAGACGGCTTTTTTATTGCTTTCTAAAATGGAGTTTTAATACAATTTTTTTTATTTTTGTACTAAAACTCTATTTTAGAAAGCAATGAAAAAACCGTTCTAAACGAAGCCTTCATTTAGAAAAGTTTCTTAATGCTATAATAATTTTTATGACTACTATTTTTTCACTGTTTTTAACAAATTTTAATACTATTAAGCTACTTTTACAACAGCTCTTAAAAAATATTTTTTCCCTACAACAGCATTACATTTAATTTTATAAAAAATTATAGGCATACCAAATGGATCCTAAATTTTGCATTATTTAAAAAATTAAAAAAAGGTAGGCTATGGGCCACAGCTATCACCCAATTCTCCTGCTTTTGGCCAAAGAAGCCAACCAGAAGGGGAGAGAAAGCAAGGAAAGAGAAGGCTTTAATGGATTCTATCACCTTCCATTCTTTTATAAAGATTAAATTGGTCTGCCACTTCTTAGTTAGTTGTTCATACTTTATTCTAATCCTTTCTTCTCTTCATTTTGCTGTGATTCCAGCTTCTGGACGTAAGAACAGGAAAGGGTAGGGTTTGCAGATTTCTACTTCCAAGGTAAAGCCCTTGTTTCCTCTCATTCTCTTCTGGTCAACTCCAAGCTGAAACTAAATAGTTTTCATGAAAATTTAGTAATGAATAGTTCAATTTTCTTTCTCAATTAAGACTTCTTCATCGATAGAGTTTAAACAAATCTGATTTTAGTTTGTTTTCCAAATTCAACAATCCAGTTTACAGTTTAGTTTTGCTTTTTTTCATATTTCTCAACTGTCAGAATCTTTTATAATTATATATTACAATGTCCTCTTTCTTTTGGATTAAAGGATCCTAACTGATGATTATTACAAAATCATTCTATTATTACACCCATTACGCTGTATTTTGGTGCAGATCAGATCAGCAGAAAGAAAATGCAAGGGAATAATAGTTTTGAAGTTAATGTCTTCTTATTGCGATCTTAAGGACCTAAAGCTTGAGGTTTCTAGATTGGGATGGCTGGCACAGTTTCGATCTTCCGGATTGTTAGATGCCCAAAATGTTCCAAGCTTCTCACAGAATTTGCTGATATTCCTGTTTACAAATGTGGTGCTTGTAGTGCAGTGCTCCATGGTAAGTTGATCCTTATTATGCCAACCATTTATCTTTTTTTTCAAGAAAGTTCTTTTTTGGTTGGTTCTCTTCATTTCGTTTGTCAAGCTCAAGAAAGTTAAGCGGGAGTAGATGTAGGCTTTCTTTGGGACAGCTTTTTTGCTGCTTCTTCAAGCAGCTTTTTAATACAAAAATTAAAAATTTTGTACTAAAAAACTGGTTTAAGAAGCAATAAAAAAGCAGTCCCAAACAAAGCCGTAGAGAGAATTGGCAGAGTTGATAATGTTGGAATGAATACAAAATCATCATTAACAACAACAACATTATCATTAGCTTTTTCTCAAACTGTCAAGGGTTGAGCTTAGGATCAGTCAATTTTTATTCATTTCCAACGGGTGTTTTTAGATGTTTTTTATGTTATTTTTAGCATAACTTCTATTTATGTTACTTAGGTCTACCATTTTTTAGTCATTATCCTTTGAGATTTATTTTACACATATGTTTATTGATATTTATTCTAAGTTTTTTGTGCATGTTCAAAACCACTCTATTACATATTGGATGTTACTCGAATCCACAGATTCCCCATCATTTGAACCCTTATCCACAGGTTTCCCATCTTTTGTATAATCCAGCTTACTTATACAATCCCATTTAGCTCACTGATCTAAGACATTATTCTTTTCTTTGGTGTATTATTAAATACAATAAAGATCTAAATTCAATTTTTCAAATCATATTATAGATTTTTATTCTCTAGTTATTCTTGTTTAGAAAAAGATTTATTTGTTGTCTATGAAAAAATCATGGATCACCTCCCCTCTATCTTTAATAAATATAGCTTGCACTCTAGAATTGGCGGAGAATTAAATCAATAAAGTATTTATCTTGTCCTTATGTGGTATTCGAGCAATTTCTTTAGCTCCTCTTTTTTCTCTCATTTTATCACATTCTTCTCTCTCCATGGCTAGTAGCAAACAAAGTACCTACTTTGAGTTGGAATCTAGCATTGATCCATATATACAAAATTTAAAGTGGACAGACCAAACACCTAGTCGATAGAGCCATGATTCTAAATTAAATCTAGACACCTCAACTCTACATCAATAATAAAACTATTGCACTAACTTTTATGAACTTAATCAACCTATGTTAGTTAGTAGATATGTTAGATCTTGTACCACACAACATGTCAACAACTTTGTGTCACATGACAAGTTAGCTCCTACTTATTATTCCCATGTTACATCATTAATAAAAATTAAACTTTCTAACAACATTCATGAAGCTCTTGGACAATCCTATTGGAAGTGTGTTATGTTGGAAAAAATTGGTGACCTTAAAAGCAATGGCACTTGAGAAATCATTGGACTTAAAAGGAAATTGACCACTCGAATATAAGTATATTTTCTCCATTAAATCTAATACTGATAAATGTGTGGATAGATTCAAAACTCGGTTGGTAGAAACTTGTTGATCTAACTTAGCTTAGCTCTCACCTATAAGCCAAGGTTTTAAAAGGCGAAATCGGGAATCGATACGTTTTTTCTAAGCGAAGCGAGGCGAGGCGAGGCATAAGCCTCAAAACGATTAAAATAAATTAATTTAAAATTTTAAATAATGACAAAAAATAACAAAAATAACAATTATTTGTACTACCAATAATAAAATAACATGAATACAAAAATAAACCAGTCTGCCGGGGGTCCAAGTGCTGACACTTCAACTTGAGTTTCATATTTTCATGCAAGATCTTTTCTTTTTGTGCCACTAGTCGTGCTAACAATAGGATATATTTTAACAAATATTTGTACTACCAAATACCAATAATAAAACAACATGAATACAAAAATATACCAGTCTGCCGGGGGTCCAAGGGGGCGCTGCCTCCTAGCAGGGTTTGACCTGTCCGGTCAGGTCGCGGGGTCAAGGGGCTGCCCCCGGAACAAAATTATATTATAAGACTAATTTTGAAATTCTGCTTATTATATATGCTCAATACCGAGCATACCGAGCATGTACCGTTCAGTACCGAGCGTGTACCGTTCAGTACCGAGCGTGTACCGAGCATGTACCGCTCAGTACCGAGTGTGTACCGAGCATGTACTACTCGGTACCGAGCGGTACTGGCTCACCGAGCGTGTCCGGTTCAGTACCGAGCGTGTACTGGCTCGGTACCGAGCGTGTACTGGCTCGGTACCGAGCGTGTACTTGCTCGGTACCGAGCATGTACCGCTAAGTACCGAGCATGTACTTGCTCGGTACCGAGGGGTACTAGCTCAGTACCGAGCATGTACTAAGCGGTACCGAGCATGTATTGAGCGGTACCGAGCATGTACAATCTGATGAAGCGAGACATGAAGCAAATAACGGTACAGGAAGCTGGAGAAGAAGAAGCGAGACATGAAGCAAATGACGGGAAGATTACGGGAAGAAAGAGAAGAAGTAATAAATCGTTACCTTCGATCGCCTCCAGGTATGTTTGAACTCGACCGAACTGTGGTCGTCGAGGTCGACGGAGTTCGCCTTTCAGTTCTCACCCGAAGCAGAAGCATGTATGTTACCTTAATACTCGACTCTTATACGACTCTCACCGCTCGGTCAATATACTTACAAACTCACGCGGTGAGGCGTACGCCTCCATGGAAAAAGGCGTAAGCCTCGCTTGAACGTTCGAGGCTTAAGCCTAAGTTCGCCCGACCTCCGCCTCGATTCGAGGCGCGCCTCGAGGCTTCCGCCTCGAACGCCTTTTTAATCGATGCTATAAGCTAAGTTCATGGTTAAAAAGAGTTTGACTAGTAGTGGAATTGACCAAAGTTTGATTTCCTTTTGTTTCACTCCCAACGATACCCTTACTAAGTTTGTAATGCATCTATAGTCCATTCTCATTTTTAATATGCTCCACTTAGCTATCTAAGACTTCTTTCTCACCTAACCATTCATATTCATTCAACGTAGCCCAATATATAGATCTTTAATATCTACATTCAACCCTCCATTTTTATCTTATAGAACTCTAGAGCTACTTCTCTATTTAATCACTTAGCCTCAAGTCTAAAAGAAATATCCACGCACAAAATTAATATAACGTCATTATAGGGAATTGTGAATTTGATGATTATATTTCAATTTGCACCTCTCTAAGTTCACGGAGACTCAGTCCTCTAAATTTCTGTGCAAGCGCATCAAACGAATGACAAATATAATCTATTACTGTACAAGTAAATTTAACTAAAATAACACACGTAAGAAAGATCATGATTAAGTTCCATTAAACAGATAACAAAAGAAATCTTTTATTCTTTAAATGCAGCTAAAGGTTCTGGTGTGACTAGAAAGAGTGCCACCTCAAGATCTGGCAGTAAATCCAGTAATACTCCGTTGCACAGTTCAGAGCAGCCAGTCCTTCCCTCTTCAAACTTGTGCTCTTTGCCTTCCTCAAATAATGAGAGTATTTTTTATGAAAAAGCACTCTCCATCACTCATGCAGATAGGGATGAAACATCGTCATTTCATCTTAAATGGAAACAAAATGAAAGCCCTGATAAAAATATGAAATTTCTCCATAAAGATGAAGAAAATGGAAACCAGCTGAGACCTGCTCAATTTAGCTTTGATAACTCAAAGTCGCAAGATCAGCTAAAATCATCTTCAACTGCTCTCAATTTTACTTCTACTTTGGGCAATGTTTCAACCGATTTAAAATCACAGACTAATAGAAGGTCATATGCTTATGAGGCTAGCATCTCTTCAATTGATGATGCTTCTGTTGATCATATTCTCAATAAGAATCACTTGATGTCTATGAGAACTTTCAGACTTCAAAGGTTTTCAAAATTAGTCAGTAACATATCAAAGGAAGGAGAAGAAGATAATGTTCAGGGTGAACATGAATTCAATAGAACTCCACTGAAATCAAGAACTAATAGTAATGAAAGCGCAGATGAAGACAATGCTTGTCCAATTAGAAAGCTACAGTTTTTAAGAAACCATCATCCTACATACAAACAACGAGCTTCAGTTGAGTCTCTTCCATTTTCAAGTCGAGTTGAGTTTGAGACGAACCAAACATCTCATTTCAGGGGACCAACATTCATTTCGAATGCATCGAGAACTCGGAAACAAGACCGAATTGAACTATCGAGCAACATGTATGATCTCAGAAATCTTAATATTGGTCATCACCAATGCTCTTCACATCCATCGCCTAGCTCCTGCTGCCGTAGCTCTAAGTGTAGTTGTGCCTGTAATATCCACCAATGCTTTTTAATTGAAGAAGTTGAAAAGTTGAAGATGAAAGACAAAAAGTATCAGACAAGGCGCCAATGCTTGCCAATTTCCAATGGTGCGCCATTTGTGATATGCAGCCAATGCTTTGAACTGCTTCGATTGCCTATGGACTTTTTCATCTCGAAAAAGGGATCAAATAAACTTCAATGTGGCTCTTGTTCAAAAATCCTAGTACTGCAATTTCCTGCTAAGGACTGCTCAATATCAAACAACTTTGCTGCTTCTAAAAGTTGTCCACAAGTGCTTCAATCTTCTCATTCTGCAGGCAATGAATCACTTAAACCAGAAAATTCCTTGCGAGTAAGAAACTGTGAGCAAGAATTACTTCCTCCGCTGCACCAACTCATGGGGTACTTTTCAGCAACTGAGGTGCTATATCAGGTTACTGATGTTGATGAAGGATATGAAAGTTCAGAGCCAGCAATGCCAGATTCTTATAGACGCTATGAAGAAGAAAGGCACAAAAATTTGCCTCTGCGGTATTCAGAAGATGAGGCTTATTTTGATTCTGTAAAAGTTGAAGAGGGAGATTATTCACCAAAGATTTTGAACAAGAGAAAACAATCACATCCACGCAGCATGAAGAGTGGAGTTAAGAGAACTTAGGCCCTGCAAATTTGTGGCAATGCCAGTCTGATATTGGTCAGTCTTTAAAATTCGTGTTGAGTATATATTGTTAATTTCGATATATAGATTTTACTTACATTTAATTGATTTATGATTCATGCATCCAGGATAACCCATGGCCCCTTCCCTTTTGTAGTTATGGAAGTTCTATAACTGCTCTTATATGTTGTAATTTTTTGTTATTACATAAAGTGCCAATTTTTTTTCATTTTGGTGTTTGGATCTTAGGTCAGAAAATGAGTTGCATTGATCTTAGTTATAGAAATGAGTTGTATTGAAATGAGCATTGGTAAATGCTTGTTTTGCAAGAAACTTAGTGAATTCGTTCTCCTATTTGGTTAGGTTGCAACAAGCTTCATTTTCACAACAGGAAACCCCGTTATTATCAGCGGATAGAATACGTCGGTAAAGATAAAATTTCAACGAAAAAATTGCTTTTCCGTCACATTTTCGTTGGATTTCCATATGAAGGTAATTTGCACATCGGTAAAAACTTTCCAACATATAGAATACACCGGAAACCTTTCCAGTGTACTATCCGGCGCACCACTGGCGGAAAAGTAGATGGTAGTTACGTCGCTTCCTCTCACTTATTCTGGCATTAAATACTCTAGAAGTACCAGCGTATTATTACGCCGGTAATTCCGGTGGAACAACCATCGCTACATACGCCGAAAATGAAACGACTGAGAGAACCAGCCTATTGTCCCCCGGAAAGGCCGGCGTATATATATGCCAGAAATCGATACAGAATTCCTTGTATCGTTGACTTCCGCTGTTTTGAGGATAATCCACCTTTTTTTTCTTCCGTTGATTTTCTCACTAGACATTTGCAAGAGGATGTACCTTAGTGTATGCTTTTTTCTGATGTCGTTTCCCTTCTCTTAGCTCGCCTCCATCGCCTCAGCCGAACCTCGCCGCTGTCGAGACCGACCCTACACCCAACGGACTTCGACCTAGTTTGTCGACATTCGCCCCGTCTTCCGCCTCTGTTATTAGGATAATCCATTGTTTTTCTTTTTTCATTTTTTTTTTCATTAGACATTTGCAAGAGGATGTGTCACGACCCGACCCGATCCGGGACGGATCCCGCTCGCACCGGGTCGCGACCGGAACGAAACGGACTGACTTACTGACCAGGATCTGGTTATGGAATTTGGTTCGGAACTGAATCTTCCAAATTATTTAACTCAAACAGACACAGAGCTACTATGAATCATCAAACACAGCGGAACAAAACATCTATATTTTTCTTTTCCTCAAAACAATCATCTACAAATCTAGACATTTTCAAGAGGATGTACCTTGGTGTATGCTTTTTGCTGATGATATTATTCATGTTGATACGACTAGAGAGGAAGTTGGAGTACTAGACCTAGTGAGGGGATTGTGACTTCGGGCGAGCAAGTCGTTAATAAGAGTACATGCTTTAGATATCATCTGTTGTTCATAGTGTTGCAGAGATGAGAATACTCTGGTGGATGAGTGGCTTTACCCTTAGAGATAGGTTCCAAAATGAGCATATACGTGATAAGGTTGGAGTAGCTCTATTTGAAGATAAGATTAGAGAGAGTCGCCTTAGATGGTTTGAGCACATAAAATGGCGATAATTAGAGGAAGAACATACTTAAGCGATTGTGGTTAGAAGGAGAGTAGACGGGGCGATGGAAGTCAGAATGATCATAGTAAAGTTGTCAATCTATGATTGATGGAGGATTGTAAGCCCACAGAGGTTGAAGGACTGTAGTTAAGATGAATTTCTAAAAATTTCATTTATCATGAAAGCGACCTAACTTGATTTTGGAGAGATCACAAAGGTCTAAATATAACTCTAAGACTTTAATTGATATTTGATGTTGACGACCAATGCCAACTATTGTCATCTCCTTACATTATCTAACATTCATTGATCGACTTACGTCTGCCAACAATCTTTATCTGACCATTGTCGTAAAATCATTATAATCCATTAACTATCATTTGATTGTCATCATCTTTATTAGATTTAAATGAGAATTTGACTTTTAATATGACACAATGGAGAAAAAGGATTCATGCAGCCGACCCCAAGTAGTGAGACAAAGGCTTGATGTTGTTGTTGTTGTAGTATCATTCAAGCTTAAATATTAGTGCATAATGAAATATATTAAATCCACATATATAGTGTGACAACCAAACTCAATAGGACCATAGATCAAATTATGTTGAATTTAGATATGCCAGCTCATGATCTAAGTTTTATAGACTTTTAAGATTTTATTTTAAATTACACAGACTACAGATCTTCTAATAAACTTACATTAAGAAGAACAAAACAAACTCATCAATAATTTATTTTTTATTCATCATCCATGTATTTATGAAAAAGTCTACTACCTACAATATATGACTATAAATTAGAACATAGGAAATAAACAAATAATCATGACAGCACAAAAAATACAAAAATACATATACATACTCAAACAGATCAGAATCTAAAACCAAAACTACTCAACCAGTTCCTTCCCTTTCCCTAAATCTAAAATAGAATGCATAATGTATGAGCCAGTGTAGCTCAATATGTCACATCCATAGATCTAAATTTTTGATAATTTATCCATTATGCATTTAATTGAATGTAAAGATAGTTTTTAAGAAATTTATCATACTTAGAATAATATAAATTACAAATAACTGAAGTAAAGCAATCTGCGCACTAAAATAAATAAATAAGTATTTTATATATCATAGCAGAAAGTAACAGATTTCCCATAGGCTCTTAGACCTCCCATCAAAAATAGATATGAAAATTCAGACCCTTAGTCCCTGTGCATTTAGCGCCAAAGCTTTCACCACACATCAGATCTCAAAGCTTGTTACATTCTAGTTTACACAGTGAATATCATAGAAAACTTAATATATATTTTTAAACGACATAAGCTTCAACATTCAAAAATAAGATCCAAATGATATGTATCTAAAAATTCCACTTAATTAGCATGAATTTGCATACATTATTTTATATCAAATTTTTTTTAGAATTAAATTTAGGGTAATGAACTTTGATTTCAACAAACTTATAATTGAACTTAATGACTCAAAAAGATGAACTCAACAACATCAAAGGTGATTCAATCTAAGTCCATATGAATCGAAATTGAGTAATTTATGTATAATTAGAAACTTATAGACATTAATTGAAAGACCAAACTATCTCAAAATATTTCATGCTTATAGTTAAATCAACGGCTCAATGAAATGAATCCAATGAGCCGAAGATCATTTGATTTGAAGGTATTTAATTCATGCACTTAGATGCGGAATAAATAATCTATAACCAAATAATTAATATTGACCAATCAATAATAGTGTTACAAAATTTTGACTACATTTACTAATATATCACTATCAAAAATGTTATAATAGACTCACATTCTTCACATGAAGTTGACCAAAAATATGATATTTCAAAGATCTTAGAGATTTGAAAAACTAGAGATCTATCTGATATTCAATGCCGACGATTACAGCCAACCACCATCTTTACCCTATATCATTGGCGGACCACCATCACTCTATTGTTGTTGCCTGACCAATACCGCTCAGTTATTATAGTTTGTTTCCTGTTATTTAACTAACATCACCCCACTGTAGTTGCTCGATTATAATTGTCTTGTTAACATTGCATGACTATCACTCCCAACCATCATCACCTGACAACCAATGCCTAATTCTCGTCATTTGACTAACATAATCTGATTGTGATCATCATCTCTCTTGTACTTCTCCTACAATCTCTGCTACAACTATATGAGACAAAGCAAGGACTCCTAACTGTGTAATCTCATCTTCTCTAATTATAGGAAAAAAATAGACTTCTAGAACTTCAAGTACATACGCCCCATAATTTTCATTTTCGCAGTCTGTTATATAAAAAACTCTAATATCTCCTACATCATTCTATTTTATCTATATATGTGACAGATCTTCGTATAAAACTAGCTCCATTGATATTTCAGCACACAACAAATATATAAATAGATAAGAATTCAATGATAAAATAAAATATATTTTCATTATTTCAAAGTCCTTCAAACCAAATATACCAAGGGAATATAGGAGGTCATAGTGGCCATCTAGGCAAAAAGCTTAGGGCCATGTGGAAAGCAAATAAGGTTACTGATCAACAAAATTTGTTTAGCTCCAAAGGCCAAGTCAAGCCTGATAGAAGCTTATGATTTGGTCCCACCTTTGCTGACCACCAACCAAATCTCTAAAATAATGGGCTCACACTTAAAAATAAATAAAAAAATACCCCCAATAAATAAAAATAGAAAAAAAAATATTTAAATGTTTTGACCCGAACAAATGGCGAGGGAAGGTTGATGCGTAATAAGACTAAAGAACAGACCATCAAAATTATAAATATTTCAAATTTGCCGGCTGACCATTTCAATGGTGTAGTATGGCAACAGCTCATTCAATTTAATATTTTTTATGCTTGAGCTCGATTTTAAATTCACTTAATTAGAAATATTTTGATTTTGGTTTGACTAGTTTGATTTTAATTAATTATATATAAATATAAATATTATATTGTGTATTAAATATTCAATATTTTATATTAATGCTCATTTAAATTTTAATTTAAAATCAGCTTGAATACATTAAAATAAATCAAAGCAAACTCATATACATTTTGTCTTGAGTGAAGCATGTTGAAAATAATTAAGATTTCATGTTAACTTATCAAAGAAGATTTAGGATTCCTTTGGGACAATTTACTTATTTTTTTCTAAAGTAAATTTTTAGTACACAAATTTTATTGAGCTTAATTTTACGCTCAAAAAAATTTTTGTACTAAAAAATTACTTTAAAAAAACATGAAGAAAGTTGTTCTAAATGAAGCTTTAGTTAGATATTTGCTTGAATCCATTGAATTTGAAAGTTGGGGTTTTCGAGCTTTCACGTTTAAAGAGGTGTTCTTGAGAGAGCTCAATATAGGATGTGAGTAGAAATAAAATCAACCTTCACACTGAGGATCATGACTCTATTCATACTTAAATACATTTAAATTATTTTAGCCTACTCTAAAAAAATAAAATTTTTGGTATCTACATATACTAAATTTCATACAAAAAAATAATGAGATGTCTCAAAATTCAAATAATGACTCATATTTCATTAATTTTAATTTTAATAGATTGAATAATAAGATAATATTTAATTTATAATGATGTGGTGATCGTCGGAAGAACCAGAACTGATTGAAGGGAATTCCCAATAAATTCAAATAGAGTTAATTTTGAGCAAAATTCAAATTTAGTAACGGCCATACATTTTATTAATACTTCACTCAATATTAATAAATGGCAAATATTGACAATACGCATTTTTTTTACTCCATAGCCAATACAATTTGTCCGCTTTTTATTTATTGGTAAAAATAACCGTTACGCATCCACCACGCTTCCATACCGGCTGCCGCGTTCAAACTTCAAAAACCCCAAATTCAAAAGAAAAAATCGGTCTTCTTCCTCCTCTTATCCTGCCAAAGATTAAACAAAATCCTAGCACATCAATGGCATCTCCAGCCACTAGAATCCCTCCATCCATCCCAAAACCCCACCGGAAACCACTCCAACTCAAAAATTTGCCGGCGAACCTCGCCTCCGATGCAATACACCCTAAGAAGTCAAATCTGACGGTCGATGAACGATCCGGAAAGGAGAATCTTGAAATCTCAGTTTGCGGTGAGGAAATGAAGCTTTCCCTGGAGGATGTTTCGCTTGGGGAGGAGTTTGAGGTGGCCAGGCTGAGGACGGAGCGGCTCCTGATGGAGAGGGAGAAGGGGGAAGCAAAGATGAGGGAGATGGACGCAGCGTTCGAAAGGTGGATGAGAGCGGCGGAACGGAGATTGAATGAGCTCTTGATGACAGAGATGGATATCCGGCGAGTGTTCCGTGCTAAAGCGCACCGGGCTTCTTGTTTGGTAAATTCTTTCACGATGCCTTGGTTTTGTTTTCTTTAATTGGAAAATTGTTGCAGGAATGGGTGAATTTATAATGAAATATTGAATCATATTTTAAACAACCGAAGAAGGTGGGGGAAATTGACACTTTAGCAAATTTGGTGATTTATTGGATGAACTTTTCAACATTTTTAGCAGATCACTTTAAGAAAATGATTATTCCGTTCGTTTATTTTGTATGTGAAAATGAAAACATTACTTGTGAGTGATCTGAAGGAGTTTTAAGAGTTCGAAATCAATGTTGATTTTAGCTATATTCAACCAAATGATAGAATCTGAATGATTTTAACATGATTTCTAACTCCAGGCAAGCAAATGAACCCTTCTTACTAATGCTTTTTGTGCTGCTAAATTTCAGAAATCACCAGCGTTTATGTCTCTCAGAGCAAGGGAAGAGAAAAAGAGATGGCAAGCTGCTCAATTCCAGGCAAGTGATCACTTCAATTCTGCCTTTTATTTTATTTTGTTTTATTTCCGTCTTATTTTATGTGGACACATTTCTTTTGCTTATATTATGCCATGAATTATAAAACCCTTGCTTTCATTTTATAGGCATTTAAATTTAGTATTCACATGGTAGTAAAAAGGTTCTTTTCCAATGGAAAATATACTAAAGAAGCGTATTAACCAGAGGAACAAAGAAGAAAAGTAATTTCTTTGCAGAGAAGGGTCATTTGGTTCAATGTCATTTGTGTAATGGAATGTAGATACGGTGGTTCAAATAACAATGATAACTATCAAATGCAGTACTTTTGGTTTAGTGTGATCTTACCTAAATGATATTATATCATTTAAAATGATCAATTTACACCACCGGGTTTAGCTGGATTGGTGGGCGAGCATGGTTGGGAACCCCCCAACTTATGTTCGATTCCTCTCTCATGCAGAGCGACCCTTTAAGTTGGGAGAAAATAACTGTGGGTCCTGCACTTGTGGGGCTAGCTGTTGGTAGGCTTGCCGAGGGATTAGTTACGCTGCCAAGCGTCTCCTAAAAGGGTGGGAGCGGGTAGATACCGGCTTTCTCAAAAAAAAAAAAAAAATGATAACTGTAAAATAGTTATAGTCAGATTTGAGATTTGTGCTATCTTACCGTTTATTTTGACCATTAAATAGATTGGCATTTAAATGTCAAGATGCAGATCATTAGATCAATATCAATGTCATTAAAATAGAATTCAATGTCATTTATGAAATTCTTAACACCAATTATTATTATCATTTTCGTTGACATCTCATTGTGATGGATTCAAGCATGTTTGCTCATATCAAGAAGAATTAAAAAGCCCTTTGAGAGACTTGGATGTTGGATGTTCATATGGATGTATAATTGAGATGGATTGAACTCTCTCATCCAATGGAAGCATTGCACCTGCAACTATTATATATATCTAAAATCATAGGTAAGTTAAAAGTATAGAAACTAAAATCAGTTGTGTAACTAATAAATAATTATGCTTGAACTTTGAAGGTGTTAGTGAGGTAGAAATTTTATTTTTAGGAGTGCAAACCACATCCAAGCAGATCTTCCTAAACTTTTAGGTAACTTTAGTTCAAGGAATTCTAAGATTATACATTTTCTTCCAATTACATGGTTTTTTTTAAAGACTTGATGTTGTTGTTGTTTTAAAATTCAAATCTTCAACATTACAGATTTTCCACAATATCAAGAAAAATTATATTGTAGAAAATGATATTGAATGCCTACAAGTTGCTGTTTTGGTATTTGTAGCAATGATGATTCTTTTTTATGTGAGAAGCTGAAAAAAGCGAAATTTACTTCCTAGGAAATTATATTCAGTGCTTATATGAAAGTTTTTTATGCTGGTATCTGTAGCTGTGATCGCTTGGCAATGATCATTCGGATAAATTAATTTGTGGGGAGTTTAGATGGGAGGAACCGTCTGATCATGTACACTCACATGTCCGGGCTGTTCTTTCTGTTCGGACTCCGCACAGAATAATTTTCTCGCATTCACAGTGCATCAGAAGCAGGAAATCTTACCAAACTGTTTTGTATTTCAGGAAATAGGAAATGCTGTAGGGAAAACGAAATCAGAGTCTGCGGATCCAAGAAAAAGGAATAAATGACCATTTCTATTTTTTTTTGTTTGTTCTCATTTGTCTTGCATTGTTCATGCCCAAATTTGTTATTGTTATACATTGTGGCATCTAATGTAATAAATGTGGAATAGAATTTTATCAAAAGTGTTCAGTTGTTAGGCTATTGATAACGAATGCTTAATGAAGGAGAGTTACTGTAAATTCAGTTCTAGTCTCATGTATATCATAGGTTCTTCAAGGAATGCTACAATCATACCACCCAAAGGCCCCCAAAGAAGCCAACTATGAAATCACTTATATGTGCTTGCATGATTGAAAAGCTACTGTCAGAATGACCGCTTTATAAAATAATCTCCTAACTTTTTTTGACAACTTGAACAATAATTTAAGGCTTCGTTTTAAATAATTTTTTAATACAAAAAATTCTAATTCAAACAACTTTTATACTTAAAAAATATTTTACAAAACAATAAAAAAACTATCCCAAATATAACCTAAAACAACTGGCTAAAATGCGGGACTTTCTAAATCAAAAGCCTAAATGTTCTTTTGATAATAGTATTATGCAAGCCAATATGTCCACATTTTTAAAACACTCCAATTTAATTCCTGATAGCTAGGTCATATTTCAAGTCATTTCGTTAGTAAATTGTCAATTAAGCAAAAAGATAGTATTGTCTATGTTAGGAGCATCAACTTGAAGTGATTGTTGGAGATATGTATATTTTAAAATTCATTTGAAACAACTTTCTAAATCAGCTTTTAGTAAAAAAAAAACTGTTTTATAAAACAGTTTTATCCCAAACAAAATCTAAGTTGTAGAGTATAGCTTTAGCAATGTAGTCATACACAAGGCAAAACCATATAGAACAAGAATGAAATGATGAAACCAGACAGAAAAGCAGATCTTCATTACACCGAACTTTACAACAAGGAATAAACTGAGAAAGAAACTACTTGGCCATTACACATTTACACTATCAACAACTTAATCTGAGGGCGAAAGAAAAAAAAATGCACTCTTTTTAGTTCTTTCCTCACACCCTTTTACTCCCAGAATACCTTTACACATGCAAATATTGTCATTAGTCAGCCTGCTAGATGAAATGAGAAATGGCAAAAGACTACCTTTCGCTTGAATTTAAAGAGAACTGACAAAGCAACGCCCGTTGTGAATCTTCCAAAAGCGAACAAACAACACTGAGATCTATAAAGAGACAATCGCTTAAAAATGAACAGTGATGAGTTAAAAACGTGTTACAGTGAATGACAATAAATGAGTACAGTTCAGTAACTTGCTCACAATTAAACATAGGGTTTAGGCTTGCTCAACAGAACTTCCAGTGATTGTTGCAGTTTACACAAGTAACAAAAGTTGTCATAGGCTCATCAGCACTTCTAGTTTGCAGTTGATAATAGGTGCATTTTCTCTGTCCACACCGACCGCATCTGAACTGATCAGTTGTGGCTTTTGGAGGCCCTCCTCTTTCACATTCAAATAAAGCCTTCTCTTGGATCTGTTTATTTGATGATTTTCTCTCATCACTAGCCATCTCCTCTGCCGTCATACTAACAAGCTTCTCAGGCATTATATGTCCGAGGAGAACCCTGCGGCGAAGATCGGTGTTGTTCGAATCCTTCAAATTAAACATTATCGATCTGTACTTCACCTTCTGGGTGCCATTCGATCGTCCTAGTTTTTCAAACATGGTTGACTCCACCGTTACTGCGACGCGAATTGGGTCACAGGCACTTATGTCATCCACAATGATTCTAACTTCGTCCCTCACATCCTCGCTCGCCTCTGCTAAAACCTTCGAGAAAGCCTCTGCAAGTTGTTCGCGGAGTTTGTCCCTCACAGGATCATTGCATTTGACCAGAGAAGTCAGCTTTGGAGGTCCAGTAGGAATCAAAGGCTTCTTGGAAACTGAGTTCTGTTTATCTTCCTTCAAGAACTTTTCTACCTTGATGGTTTCGACCCTATTTCTTTTCTCAAAAGACACACTCCCCACACTCCCTGATTCATCTTTCCTGGTTTTCTCAATTTTGACAGCATCTATTTTAGAAAACTTTTCAGAGACCAAAAATCTGTCTGAAGGAAGCTTTTCGACCTTCATGCTTTCTGATTTCGAGTGGATGTTGGGCTTAGATGAACCAGAATTTGAAGTCTTGTCAACCTTGGTAGAATCTGATCTCTCAGACTGAGTTTCGGTTTTTGCAAGGTTTGCATCAACGGAGCTGCTACTTTTCTTGCTATCTCTGTTGGTCTCCTCGATAACAACACTCTTCCAGAATTTAAACAAATCAGTAGCAACTGATTGAATCTTAGGCTTAGGATGTTTTGTGAGGCTGCGAATGCGCTTGCCAACCTAGAAAATAATGGCAAGAAGTTCAGAAGATTAAAAAATAAAAATGACTATTTAAGTAGCTATCAGTAGGGAACAAATGACTGAGCAGCTACACAACAGAATAGTTCCAGGGCTTAATTCTCTCCTGTAGGAACCAACCAGGTGGACGAGATTATTTTTCAAATCAGCACAAAATGGAATCGTAAGTATTTGAAAAGCTATTTGGATTGTTGATTTAATAATATGATCCCCAACTTAGTATGGGAAAATGAATCACCGAAAATGGAGTTTTAAGATGGAGACGATACCACAAGCTAAAGCGTTAACGAGTTGCACCACTAGCATTTAAGGGTGTGCAACGCACGGATTGCACGGTTTATAAGATTTTTCTTTTAAAGATCTTGTACTAATATGTAAAGCTTTTCATAAAACTATAACAAATTATAGTATTGAAATTAATTAATAATTAATAAATCATATTTGTATTTTAAATAAATATTAAAAGGGATATTTGACTATCTATATCGCATAATATAGATAATTGGGCAAATCTATCAATTATTTGTTTTTATTGAAGAAACATATCTCAAAGCAACATTCCAATAAATTTACCTCAACCTATATTCACAAACTATTAATTCTGTGTAGAATCTGATTGTGTTGATCAATCGGGTTGTATTGTTGACACAAATCTCAATCGAGCTTGTTGGGGGTTGCAAGGGGTCCTCCCCCTGCTTAGCTTTGAGTGCTCTATGTGATGCATTCAGGTTAAACATCTAGATTGACCTGTTCTAACCTAATTGGACAAAAAATAAATATTTAAACTTTCGAGTTTTGAACCCATTTACATATGTTTGAAAACTGATCTCAAATCTCCAGAACTAGAAAGCCAAAATCTATCCTTGCAAAAAATAATACTAGTATCAGATACTAGCAATGCAAATTTCTTACCCTCTTTAATTAGACCAATCATCAAAGAAGGTTGAATAATCATTTGAGCTAATATACTAGAATCCCGATCGGTAGAAGAAATCTCATATCCCACATCAAACACTCATCGGAAGTTAACTAAACACATGAAACTCTAAAAGATATCCTGCTCAGAGCATATGCTGCAACATTAACCTTATCGAGCTGATACTGAATAGTCAAATCATAGCCTTTAATCAATGCATCATCTCATTAGCCTCAAATTTATATACTTTTGAGTGAATATATACTTCAGACTGATGATTAATGAAAACTTCACACTTGACATTGTATAGAGAGTATCTCCAGATCTTTAAAGTAAAAAACACTGTAGCAAGCTCTAGATCATGCTTCAACTATCTAGAAGAATATGCAATCAGATTTTTGTACTGCATCGAAACACATCTCAAACCTCTCAGAAAAGCATCATTGAATACCTAAAAACCTTCTATACCAGATGGAAGAGCAAAAACTAGAGCAAAAGTCAAACAATATTGCAGTATCTAAAAACTAGCCTCACGCTCCGATGTCCAAATAAAAGCTACTAATTTCTGAGTCAGACTTGTCAGAGGTGCAGATAATCTCATGTACATACATATATATACATATACATATATACATATACATATATACATATACATATATACATATACATATATACATATACATATATACATATACATATATACATATACATATATACATATACATATATACATATACATATATACATATACATATATACATATACCTATCTCGACCTAGGAAAACTCATAGTGAAATCCATGGTTATCTCTTCTCATTTCCACTCTGGAATGAGCGAGCGCTACAAAAAGCCTCCCAATTGTTGATATTCTACTTTTTCTAACTGGTAGGCGTCAAATTTAAAAACAAAATCTACAACACCCTTCTTTAATTCAGGCCACCAAACAGATCTTTCAAATTACTATACATTTTACTGCTTCTTGAGTGAATAATATAGCCTGAATAGTAAGCCTCGTGCAGATACAATTAAAGTTTTAAAATGATGTTTTACACAATTTTTGATAATTTGGAGTTTTAAAATTGTGCATTTTTAATTGATAAAATTTTTTGTTGCCTACCATTATAGAAAATTATGCAATTATGAAACATATATATGATTATGTTTTAATTGCTACAATATAATAAAATATGTGCGTATGTGATTGAATTAGGGGTGTCAATATTTCACACGACCCGAAAACCCGACCCGAAAATTTCGGGTTAGGGTCAACCCGAACCCAAAACGAGTCGGGGTTCGGGTTCAGCATTTCGACCCGTTTCAAAAATCGGGTCAGGTTCGGGTTAACCCTTTGACCCGAAATTGACCCGAAAGTGACCCGATTTTGACCCGAAAACCCGATTTTGACCCGGCAACCTGAGATTGACCCGTTTTTTACCCGAAAAGAGGCGATTGACCCGTTTTTGACCCAAAAATTAGCCATTTTCTTGTTGGAAATGGGTCATTCGGGTCATGTCGGGTTGACCCGGACCCGAAGCGGGTCGGGTTCGGGTCAGGAAAACTGACCCGTTTTTAAAAACGGGTCGGGTTCGGGTTGCCCGAATAGTGTCGGGTCAATTTCGAGTTCGACCCGAACCCGACCCGTGACCCGAAATTGATACCCCTAGATTGAATTATATATGCTGAGAGATATAAGGGGCAAGGATCTTGAGATTTTGCCTGGGATCGAGAATATTCTGGTGCCTATAAGGCATCTTCTAATGGTTATAAAGTCATGTTCTGGTGACAAATATGTTATGTTCTAGCGCTATAAAAACAAAAGAGTCACAAGGGGCCATAATTCTTTTAGATTATGGCTAATTTTTAGATACTTTGATCTAATCTTTATTCGGTATCTATGTACTATATTGTAGATTTAGTATATACATTTTGATAAAATAAAATAAAAAATTGTGGACGAGTTCATTTTCATTACTCTAGATATTTTAGTAGCTTTGTAGTTTGTTGTTTATTTAAAATAAATATTAGAAGAGAATATGAAACATTCCAAAATTAGATCATGATATTTTCTTGACGCAGCTCACACAATAGGAAGCTTGTTGGGTTAGGTTGTGACACTCTGTGCTCAAGAAATTTTTTTTTCATACAACCATAGAGCGCTACGACGTTGTATAGTCTTTTTGGGAACAGACAGACATAGAGAGTTGCGATTAGATGGGCAGATTTCTTTCTTATTTTTTATGTTTAACTTGAAAGATTGTATCCCTTGGGTGGTTCTATATGTATCTCTTTGCCTATTTTGTAGCAGAACAATGCAAGAGTGAAGAGAAACATGAGAAAGAATAGTTTTGTACTATTTCTCCCATAATTTCATAGTAAATTTCATGATGTGATGTGAATCCATGGTTTTCTCCAAATTTCAAAATTTTCCACGTTAAATCCTGTTGATTTTTCTTTGTAGTGCAATTTTTTGTTTCCTACTCATTTCGCTACGTAGTTTTACTTCCCCAACATAGACTACTCATTGAAGTTTATCACAAACAAAAATAATTCAAACTAGTATTAACCTACTTAAAATATTGATTCGAACCTAATTTGAGTCTTGATTTAGACCTTGTTGAAATATTGGTTCAAGCCTTCATCGTTCTTGTTGTTCTTGAACCATCCATCTTTGTCATTCATGCGCCCTTGGTCTAGTTTCATAAATGCCTTCCCACATCAAGCCTGTGCACGAACAAATATTTTCCTTCCCACATCGCCAGTCCACAATGCCCTTCATTGTTCTCATTGTTCTTGAACTATAAATCTTTGCCATTCATGCCCCCTTGGTCCAGTTCCATTAATGTCTTCTCACATCAAGCTTGTGCATGAATAAATATTCTCCTTCGTAGATTGGCGGTCCCACAATGCCTTCACAACCAAGCTCCATCCCAAACAAATCTTCTAACACCGCCAGCTCTTGATGTCTTCCCCAATGTGGTTCATTGTGAACTCCTTCACACATCATCTATCATGTCAATGCCTTCCTTAATGAAGTCCATCGCAAACTATCATTCTCCTTCCCATGCCATAAATCCCATCCACAAACTCATCATCTCCGCACAATGCTAGTCTTCGCAAACTCCTAATCTCCTTCAGGTTCTTACAAATGTTTCATTGTTCATCTCTCAGTGTAGTTGGGGAAGGCATCAACGAAGCAGCCTTGGGAATGCTTTTTTCTTCCTCCCTTGTTGTCATTGGGTAAGCCATCGATGAAAGCAGCTAGGGAATGCTTCATTAATTACTATAACATTCTTGCTACAGCTTCGTTGTTCTCCTATCATCGTCATTGGAGAAGGCATCAATGGAATTAGTAGCGGAATGAAAATAATGGGACCAACTATGTGTGGTAGAGGTTTTCACTAACTTTGTTCGAAATAGGTTTAAAATGCATTCAAACATAAAAATCGAACCACGGATCAAATAAATGTTAATTTATGACAGATTTCAATGGGTCATATGCAAATATAAGAGGGACTAATTTAATCTGAAAGAAACTTTCAGAAATATTTCTCCAAAAGAATAAGTGGTTAGAATATCCCAATTATGTGCATTATGAGGCATAAATAATCAAATTTTCCTATTAAAAATAGTTATAATAACTAATAAATCATATTTAAAATATAATATGTAAAATATATATATTTTTTTATTTTTTTTTTTTATTTTTTTATATAATATGTCAATATTTTTAATAGAAAAATGTCAATGCATGAGTAGCTGTTTCAACGCATGAGAAATTTTAAGAAAAAAATAGTGGTTAAAACCATTCTATTTATTGGAAGTTGTGTTGTCAGAAATGTTATTATTTCAACTGTTTTTTTTTTGTATCAGTTTTTCTACTACCTAGAGGGTTTTATGTAAATTAATAAGATATTCAACTCATCCGGAAGCAGATAAATATACTCAAAGACAAAAGTTCTTTGATGAGCATCCAGGAGCTCCGCTCTTTGATGATCATCCAGGAGCTCCGAATCCTATTCAAGTTGATCTGACAGTTCCTGGAGAAGATGTAGAGATGACTTCAACTGGAGAGCATAAGGAAATATAAGATAGCCGAGAAATGTAAGTGACGTTTTTGGTTTTTTACTGCAATTTCGATGAGTTATGTTCCTAAGAACTTAAATAAAATTACCAAAAAAATAAGTTGAAGAAAGAATAAAGTAAACAAAGCTCAACTCCATGAAAATGAAAAACAAACAGCATAACATTACAGAATTCAGACAAGTTATCACATATTAAACCTCCATGCATATACCAAATTCCCTCATGTCTAAAAACTTCTTCTCATTTGTTTCCTCATAAGGTCATATATTGATTAATAATTATTTTTTCTTCATTTGTTTCCCCATAAGGTCATATGTAGATTAATAATTATTGGAAAACAGCAGTTACCAACCAACCAAAAAAAAAAGAACACATAATGATGGACAAATTCAACAGGTTATTTGGGTAAAAAGGTGGCTATAATCATCTAATGGTCATATGAGGCATCGCTGGCTACTTAATGAAAAATCCTGACAAACATTAAAAATCAATTTATGATAATACGTTTTCAGATTAGTTCTAACATGCAAATAAATTCCTCTGCAAGCTCTCCTACACTGGCCTTCACTGTGGGATTTGACAATTAAACCATCATCAGAGCTTCTAAGAAAAGAAAATTCATGAATAGAACTTTAAAACAATTATAATAGCAACATATCTAAAGTTCCTCAGAAGCCATCCGTTCCAAATTGCTACTAATCCTCGAATAACCAACAAGGAAATGCCAAAATTATGTGCAGGCTAAGGTCCATCACCATCTGCAGTTCCCACTCATGCCTTATTTTCAATGTATTACATTAATAACCTAAGAATGATGCTACAATTGTTGCATATAAGTAGTTTTATAAGTATGGCATGTACCAGAAAAGCCAAACTAGCAAGCCACTGAAAGAACTGGCAGGCAAGCATTATATTCTGATAAATATAAAGGAAAGGCATAAGCTAGTAGGTGAGTGCATCTGAAAAACATGAAATAATTTAAAGATGCCTCACTCTTTCCCCATTTATCCCATCCATGACTGGGCCTCGATGTATACAAAGGAAGAAAATATATGGCCCTTGATAATTTATGAAATATAGAAAAACAGGTAATATTTTTTAGTGAACTAAATGAAAACCTAAAACTTGCAAAAGAAAGAATAATTGCACATCATTATTTTACCAAATCAGAAGCATAGCTTTAAAGAATTCATAGAAAAGGCAATAGCTTATTCACATTGCCAAATCAAACAATAATGGCAAAGGGCAGGATGGGGGGTAATGGTGCAACTTACCTGAGCTTTTTTCACATGAAAATTGAAAATAAATAGAATAATTTTGAACAATCTGAACCAAAGTTCTCACATATAAAACCTCATACCCAAACTTAAGATTGAATTGAAAATAGTTTTATAATTTCTTCCTCAATTTGTTTCCTCTTCAATTCATACATTGAACAATTAATAGAAAAGAGCAGTTCCTCACCAAACAGGGAAGAAGTGCCTTTCCAAGTCAACAACCTATCCTTCAAGTTATATTATGCCAAAACTTCAAGCCAAATAAGCATGTGACGTTTACTGGGGCCTCTTCAATAATGTATAGAACAAGCATGAAGAAATGAAAGGCTTTTTTCTATTTAAAAGACTAATAGTCCAACACTCTGAGTGAAGAGAGGAACAAAAGGATAGGGAAACTCAAAAAGTTATTTGTTTTAATAAAGGTCAATATACTCATCTAATGATCATACGAGGGGTATTTCTAGAGGCTTGATTTAAAAATCCAAACAAAAGCTAGTCGAATCACCTGAAGATCTTATAGTTTATTTGGATAGGTTCTCCTATGATGATGAAATCAAAGCCTCAGCAAGCTTTTCTAAATTGGCATCCCCTGTAGGCTTTGACAATGTCAAGCCCTAACCTTCAAGTCATATTATGCCAAAACTCCAAGCCAAATTTGCATGTGACACTACCTTTTATTTTTTGAAGGAAGCACATATTGCATTAAAAAAAAGGAAATCCACCTACAAAGGTCCTCCTGAAGATTCCTCCTTCAAAATTTTAAGAAATGAAGGAGGAATCTTATTCAACACAATGTCATCCCAAATAAAAGAAGAAGCAATAGCCAAATTAGCACAAAGATGCGCTAACCTATTAGAGCTTCTATCTATACAATTAAAAATAACTAAATTAAATTCTTTGAGAAAAGATACTCTCAAGACTTTGCTCACCTTGCTTCATCGTATCTTGGATGAGCTTCATGATGTTTGCATTGTCTCCTTCAATAATGATTCCCTTATACTCAAGCATCCAATCTTGAAGAACATCTTTGATTGTCTTGATTGCTAGTAGCTCCAATAGCGTATGGAGGGACATTCTAGAAGAAATGAAAGGGTTCTTCTATTTTAAAGACTCATAGTCATGATCCCACTCACCGTGTGAAGCGAGCATATGAAAGGATAGGGAATCTCAACATGTTACTTTGGTCAAATAAAGATCAACATAATCGTTTAATGGTCATAAAATGGATATTTTCATAAGCTTGATTTCAAAATCCAGAGAAAAGCATGTAGGATGACCTGATGATCTTATAGTTTTTTTAGATTAGTTATCCTCCCATGCTGATAAAATAAATGCCTCCGCAAGTTCACCAGAATTGGCATCCCTATGGGCTTAGAAAATTTAATCTTCATAAGTGCTTCAAATTAAAAAAAAATAAATAAAGAGAACAAATTTTACACCATAAACAACAGCAATTTTTTTCTTATTTGTGTCAGCAATCATCTTTCTATGGTACCAATGCAAAGTCAACACTCAAACGCAAATATTGCAAAGCCTAAAATCAAACAATATGAAAACTTTCATAGATACCTTATGTACAACACATTACATTACAACAACAACAACAATCCTTTATCCCACTACACGGGGTCGGCTACATGAATCCTTTTCTCCATAGTGTCCTTTTTCCCATTTTGTCCATATAAATATAATAAAGAAATGTCTTTTTTAATATTTTCTAACCAAGTCTTTTAGGTCTACCTCCATCTTTCTTAATATAGGTGAAATTCAATACATCTACTCTCTTAATCGAATAATTGGAAGGCAGCCATTCTACAACACATATTACATTAATAACCTAAATTTGATGTTATATTCATTGCATGTAACAAATCAGTTCGGTAAATAAATATGGCAAGTACCAGAAAATCCAAACTTGCAAGCCACTAAAAACAACTAGCATGCAAGCAATATATCCTGGAAAAAAAAATTGGAGGCGTGGGGGTGGGGGGTTAATAGATGGCTCACACTTTCCCCAATTATCCCATCCATGAGGTATCCCGAATGATTTCTTAGGCATTAAGGCTGTAGACTTCTTTATATATATATATATATAGATACTGCTTAGAAGTGAATACATGGAACCATAAAGCTTGCAAAATAAAGAATAATCATGCAGCATTACTTAAATAAAGAAGGCACGTATCTCCTAAATAACTCCAAAAACAGGAATGTTGAGACAGAAAATCAATTGCATAAATTATTGTACAACATACTTCAAGTGATGCCAAAGTTATCTAATCAATCAATAATCAAGTAACACATAAATGCTACTCAGTACAAACAATTCCGCACTACTAAAGTCCATCAAGACCCAATATAAGATTTTAATCCCACAAATAAATAACAAATATGCTTTCAATTACAAGAAGAATCAGATCAAACTAATTATTTTCTGTAGAGTGTTATAGGCTGTATTCCAAAGATTTGAAGAGGGTTATCTTTCTCAATAGCATCTAATAACAGCCAGAAAAGAACTAGAGCAAAAGAGAAATCAGAGTTTTAAACAAGCAAGCACTCGTAGGACCTTGGCTGGTAAGCTTCAACTATCCCAACAAGCAGGCATCCAAAGAAAGGATATTTGCATTATATATGGCATGCTTTGCAACAAAGCAAACAGTTACTAACCTAATAATACAGGAGGTATCTAAAGTTCAGCATCAAGAAATACTATGCTAGAAAGATACCTCCTAATCGAAAGAATAAATAAAACAGCATAAACAGGTAGTTCAAAATATCAATTTTTTTCCTTCGAAAGTTAAAATAATACTAATAATATAAAAGATCCACATTAATAGCAAGATAAAGCAAGATGAACGAATGTAATAAAAATAATCCGAACAGCCAACATAAAATAATACGCTGAATAATCAATAAGCACAAAAAATTAAAATCACAATTACACTTATTTCTATCAGAGTCTTCGATCTCCATTTTATTGTATCAACTAATAAAATACACAACAATCTTCATCTACTCGTTACGCCAAGAAAAACATCAAAAAAATCGAAAAAAATAGTTCAATAAGAAGATGAATCTAAGGAGCACCTGCGTATTCACCAGATCCTTGGTGGTGACCGGCATCCTACGCAACCGTTTTAGGGCATCCAAGCAGCGATCCTCTTCCGCCAATCCACCGTCAGCCGCTGCCGCATCCGCAGCCTTCTCAGCAGCTTCGAATGCAGCCAATAGCTCCTTCTCCATCAAGATAAACAGAGCAGAAAAGACTTACGAGCTGATCCAGTTGGAGGAGACGGCGCGAAGGAAAAAAAAAGGCGATGAGATGATAACCCTAGAGCATTGGACTAACCCATATTTAAACCGTGGATAAGCGAGTAGGCGTTAGAATTTTATTTTGTTAGCTCCGGGCAAGTTATTTTTTACAATAATTTTTAAAATTTTATTTTCTCCATAAAAAATTTATTATCGCTTAAATAAAAAAGGGGTTTTTACCTATCAAATACTTAAAACCCCTCTATATACTTATTTAACATCCCAACTTTAATTGTTACTCTTCTACAGCCTAAGAACCCTTGCACTCATCAAATATAGTACAATGTTGCCTCCCATCAAAACAAAAACTCGAAAGTTGTATTTCGCGCGGAAATCCTCTATCTTCGTTGTGACTCGAGCTGCTCTCTCGCATTTGGATTCCCTCATCTTGTCCAGCCCATGCGAACACATCCCAATAGAGTATCTCCCTCTCTCGCATTTGAATACCCTAGTTTTCTCCAGCTCGATCGACATTTCATGCGAATGTCCGAATAGAAGCTCTAGCCCAGTCAACATTTCATGCGAACATCCGAATAGAAGCTCCATTTCGCGAAACCCACGCCGCTCGTCTTCTCTAGCCTGTGCAAACACATCATTACTCCCTCCCATGAGCTCATTCCTTCTCTTTAGGTATTTTCTTTATTCACTATTACATTATGTATTGTTCCCATCAGCTCATATTGCCATTGTTGTCGCTCATATTAGAGAACTTTAATAGAACATGAAAATAGGAAAAAATATTGAGATAATAGAGAATAAGAAAAACTTGTTGACATGATATGGAGTGTTTACATGCTTGTTTATGCTAATTGGATGAAATTTATTTCATTTATAACTATACACGCAAATATGGACTCCAACAATTTGTGCTTAGTCTTCAAGTATAAAGGATATTGGATTGTGGTGAAGGGCCAAATAAAGATTAAATATGTCGGTAGAAGTTTGAAAAATTTGAAGTTTGAGAGAGGTGATATTAATTTTTTATTATTGAACGAACGAACCGAATCACTTTGCCGGTGGCTTAGGGATTATGCTTACGGCCTACACTATCATATTTATGGAACATCGCCTAAATTTTACATGTCAATTAGGATTGATAAGATGTAATAGACATGCTTACATGTTCATGTGATAGTAGTAGAGTGGAGGTGGTGGTTATAGTGAAAGATCTTAAAGAAGATATGGGTCATGCAGATGACATTCAATATGGTGATCTGCATGATTTCAGTGCAAACAATAGGATGAACAATTACATAATAGTAGATGGGTTGTGTGATGGTTTCTTTGCGGCTCAAGTTGCAGAAATACATTCTTTACGTATTGGTTAAGGTTTTAAGGATTCATCAAATTTTAAACAAGTTATTCGTTCTAATGTAATTTTACAAAATTTTGCTATCAAGATTAAAGCTAGTGGCAAAACAAGAGTTATTACTACATGCACATATCGTGAATGTCCATGAAGAATACGTTTTTCATTATGTTCAGATGGTCATTCATTCGAAGTTATAAAATTACATTCGACACATTTATGCTCATGGGTAACAAGAGCTGAAAACAAGCAAGCTACAGCGAGGTGAATTGCTCATGAAATCAATGAAATTTTAAAAATTAATCTGAATATTACACTAAAGGACATAAGTAATAACTTAGAGATCACTTTTGGCTTATCTTTATCATACATGAAAATATAACGTTCAAGAGAATTAACAAGAGAGCAAATATTTGGTTCAATAGATGATAACTACAAATGGGTGCCCATACTAAAGTCGGAATTAATCAATAGGAATCCTGGCTTATATATAATGTACCTATGTGACAGCCAAAACTAATCATTTAAGTGGTTCTTTATCAGTTTTAAGGTTTATATTGATGGGTTTTTTATCGAATGTCGATAATTAATCGACATTAATACTTGTCATCTGAAATCCAAGTAATTAGGTGTACTAATTTCTCGAGTTATTTTGATGGGAACAATGACCTCTTTACTATTGCATTAATCATTACAGAAACTGAATCAAAAAGAAGTTAGAAGTAGTTTTTAATGAATTTATTCCAATCTTTTAGTATTGATGGAGAACATTTAATCTTCATATTAGATTTGGAGAAAGGACTAGGTGAAGCTATTAAGGTTGTCTTTCTTAATGCTGAGTACAGAGTTTGAATGAGACACCTTTGAAAGAACATTAAAAAACTTTTTCATTGTGATGATAGCCACAAATTGCAGAAGTTAGTGTGGACTGCCCAAATTGTTACAACTAACATTAGTTTAATACTAAGGTTGAAGAAATATATTGCATCGGTCTAGATGTTCATTCATACATAAGTTCTTTAACATGTAAGTGGTCGAAAGTAACTTTATCAAAGCATATTAAGAACCACTATAACACAAATAACATGGGAGAATCCTTCAATTCATGGGTAGAGGAGGCAAGGAATAAGCACGTCATGGATCTCATCGACATGATAAAGAGAATGCTGATAGAACAATGTTCTCAACAGAAATTACACTCTATTGCTTGGAAGGGGCCTCTTATTCCATTTGTAGAGGAGTATATTAGAGAAGTTACATCAATAAAAGAACATTTCATTATACACTAGTCTACTTCAACCAAAGCTGAGGATGAAGGGAGTTTTGAGCATCATGAGGTAGACATAGAAAACCAATTGTGTAGCTGTGGGTTTTGGCAGTTATCTGGACTACCATGAGTGCATGGCGCATCATTTGTTGGAACTAAACATCATAATTTGTGACACACATATATTGATGAACATTATTACAGTTATAAGTATGTTATTTTCTTTAATTTAATCTTATGACATTACTTCTGAAGATCATTGATCATGTGCTTGGGTTGAATTAGTTGAAAATTGTTATCAATAAGATTGATTGAAAATAAATGCTATTTACCATATCCCTATCATAAGGAAACAACCATTGAATTGAAATAGATCCACAAGCAGCCAAAAGCCTTCTTAGAAGAATGTCAACTGTATGAAATAAACAGGAGGATGAATACTTCAAATGTTATAACTACTTCAAAAGTCACAACCACAAGCATGCAAAATTCATCTCCAACACCTTTTAATTAATTACAAAATTTGTATAACAACTTCAAATGTTCACAACAAAACTTAACATGTTTACAAAATAGATACCATCTGATTTCAAGTATCCAAATTAAATTTCTTAGTTACATTCTCGGTTAAATTCATTTACAAATATAAGTCTTTGATAGAGAATTAATGGCCACAAGTAAAATTAGGATAACCAATTAGAATTTAATTTGAAGAAACTCATATGTAACTGAAACTGCAACAAGTTGATTAGAATAGACTTCTGCTACATTTAAAATCCTTAAGTGATTCATATCTTCCAGCTCAATATTTTGCTCTTAGAACCACCTAAAAATCTACAATCGTCCTTCGATCTGCTTCGGAGATATCAATAGAACTTTCTTCCATGGTTATTAGCTTTGTAGCAAGTATATATTGAACATTAAAGATTGCAATGATAATAGATTGGGTTGTCCTGATTTCTCATTGATGGTGTCGACTGGCTCAAACTCATGTCACAAATTTAATATTACTATACTTACAAATTAAAGCTCCCATTCAAAAATCCACAAAAAATAAATACCATATAATTTATCAATTTTTTAGAGAAATTTATAAGTGGTCAAAGCCTGATTAAGATCTTGCTTATCAAATTAATCCTCTTCCCATATGACATCTCAACTTGATAAAAATTACAGCATGGGCATCTAAATGGTAATGGTACAGGAAAATGAGATAGTGAACATTAAATGTAAGTAACAGTATATGACATTTTAACATAGAAGAAGAACAACAAACTTAGATACAAAACATAGAGAAGAATATCAAACCTAGACAAAGAAGAACAACAAACCTACATACAAAATATGGAGAAGAACATCAAACCTAGGCAAAGAAGAACAACAAACCTAAATACAAGACATGGATAATAAAATCAAACCTAGGCGATCTATCCGGGAGGGAAGGGAGGCAGATCCAACCTAAATGTGGTTGACGAACAGGAAAATAAGATTATAAAAAGTAGACTAACATACCTGGACGAACAAATCGATGACCGAAGAAGATCCGACTGAGTGAGGAAGAGGCGGTAGCGAAACATACATTTTTAGAATTACAGCTTTCGGGGTTTGGTTTTGACGGGAGGTAACAGAGTGATATATTTGATGAGGGCAAGAGTTTTTAGGTGGTAGAAGAGTAAATACTAAAGTTTTGGTGTTAGATAAGTAAATAGAGAGGTTTTAACTGTTAGGTATGTAAAAATCTAATAAAAAAATTATAGCACTCTTAAAAGTGACAGTTATGATGGACCAATCAATTTTTTTTTTAGTTTTTATTGATTGCAACTAAATCAAATGAGGCAACTACAACAAATTTAGTATTCACCATTTGAGTTAATTTGATTTTGGATATGTTTGGAATATTTTTTTTTTATTTTAAATTTCAATGTAATCATATTTTTATTTGGTTATTATTTTCTCGCTATTTTTTTACTGCTTTTTTAAAAATTTTGAAGTAAAAAGTTATTTTTTTGTAAAAAAAAAAAGCTAAGTTACTTTCCCCCTGATAACTTTATAACCAACTTTATCCATCTCAAGCAAACTCCTAGTCCTAAATCTATCAAATTCATTCAAAATATTAAATTTATTATTATTATTGATATATCATCAAAAAAATATCTTGAACGGGTGGGAATCTTTATGCAAATATAAGTTGGAGGCTTCAAAAATTAAAATCATAACCATTCAAACTCCGATTTTAGCAAGCTTATAGTCAAATTAAAAAGCTCAAGGAGATGAACCTAACGACACCAAATTCGATCCAATTCGAGCTCAATTGGGTTAAAATCAAATGACCAAAACCTATTTGAAAGCTTCAGAGCATTAATTGAATGACTAAATCATATCCAAATGCAACATATTTATAGTTTAATCAAGCGGCTCGACGAGACGAATCCAACGAGCTCAAGATCACCGGATTTTAATATCATTAGGCTCCTAAATGCTCGATAAACAATTCATAATCGAGGGAGTTGATATCGGCCGTCCATCAAAACACTCTCAACTTTCCTTTGATCTTCTCCCTATTTACTAGTCATGTCACTCAAAAAAATTATAAATAGATTCATCAATCTTCACTGAGGGAGAGAGGAGAAAGGAGGAGAATAGGAGAAAATTAAAGAGCTCTCCTACATTTTCCAGCTATCGTCATCGTCGACAACCACCAGTTACTATCACTGGTAACCGCCATCATCACCGACGATCGACATCAAAAACCACCAACATCTCTAGAATACTGTCAAGATTTGACCCTTTTGGTGGGTACAAATATTTGATCTTTCTATTTTCCTCTTCTTTAACAGTAAAGAAAGGAATATTTTTGTATCACTTGCTACATAGTAAATTATGCAACTGAGCTAGGCCCCGTGATTTTCCCTTTCTGGGGTTTTCATGTAAAAAGTTCTCTGGTCCTATCATTTTTATATATTCGTGTTGAATTTTTGTACATTGCTAAGGATGAATTATTCTATGCGGACGTTGAATGCCATCTAAAGCCCAATGAAAATGTACCACGTCATCCCCCTACTCGGTACCGCGGCTCGGTATTGCTCGATATCGAGCTCATTACTGCTCTGTACTGGATGACGTGGCTGCACCTGATTCACCTTTGGACGATAAGTTGCGTCCGATGTCCGCACAGTATAATCTCTCATTGCTAAGATGTAAAATACAATCTCTATCAACTCAAATTTTATAGCACGAAATTATTACTATTATATAACTTTATATGCTAATTAACTGTGTTTGTTTTTTGAGAAAGTATGTCTGAAAGTTTATTCTAGATCAAAATATTTGTGTTTTTTAAAATTGTAAATCATACTCTGTATGAAAAGAAACACAAACTTTCAAACAACAACAATGATCGAACCTCATCTTCCTTGATCTCAGAGGTTGTCAGTGGTAATGCTTCACAGCAATAGTATTTACGTTCAAGTATAAAGTTGTTACACTTTTAGTTATTTATATTTGAATGCATATCAGGGGCGGAACTGTTCATGGCTTAGGGGGGGTGGGGGGGGAAGTTCATCATAAGAAATCACATAATTCTCTCCATCTACCCAGGGGCGGAACTGTTCTCCCCCTTAAAAAAAAAAATTTTTATTAGAGAGGGGCAATTTAGTAACTTGACCCATAAATTTGTTATTTTGCCCCCCCCCCCTTTGCCCTAACCCGCCGATTCCACGAACAAAAAACGACGCCCAGTCACGCTATGGTGGAGAGAGCATTTTCAGCCATGAAAATTATCAAACATCGATTGCGTAGTAGGATGGGTGATGATTGGCTCAACGATTGTCTTGTGCCTTACATTGAAAAAGATGTATTTGATTTGATTTCCAATGAAGATGTTATCCAATATTATCAAAAAATGCAAAATAGATTGATAAAATTGTAATGATTTTCAATTTTCCTATCATAATGGAATACATGATTTCACTTTGAATTATATCATCTTTTTTTTTTTATATTAGTCTATTATACAAAGAAAATTTTGCCCCCCCTAAGATGAAAGGCTGGTTCCGCCCCTGATGCATACATCACCTACAGTTGTAGGTTATAATAAAAAAGAGGTTAAAGGTGAACCCAATATTTAAAAGCATATAAGGTAAAAAACTTATAAAATGAGTTTGGAATCAAAATTTTTTTTGCATACTAAAATATAAATCCTTAAACCCATTAGACATCATATTAATTATTAAAATCATGTTCAAATCTCATTAAATCATTATTGAATAAGGTTCGAACTTTGTTTATACCAAATTCGAATCATATTTGAACATAATTTAAAACTTGCTCGAGCCATACTTGAACAAATTTAAACATAATTTAAAACTTGCTCGAGCCATATTTAAACATATTCAAAACCCATTTAATCCTTGAGCTCATTTTTTCTTGGTTATATGAACAAAGATTCAATTGACATAGATTTTCCTGATAAAAAACTAGACTTGTTAAAGACTTAAGTGAGTTAATCAAAGTTAGAGTTACGTGTACCTGAGAGACTCTATTTACTTAATAGAATATAGTAGAACCTAAGCTAGCTTAACCCAACTTTAGTTCTAGTGGACTCATCATCAAAATTATTTTATCCTTATATATGCTTAACCCTAATAAGCCTTAAAATAATTATGTTCGAGGACACTGAGCTTCACTTAGCTTTAGAGTTAAGGTGGTGTTAGATTGATCTTGACCTTAGGGACTCATAGACCCTAGCTCTAACCTAAGCCCTATGTGACTAAACTCACTTACTCTACCTCCAAAATTTAGCTCATTTTCCCACTAAACCCTCCATTGGACTCAAATAAGCTTAAGAGAACTCCTAAATCTTAGCTTATTGAATGAGCTAACCTAGTTTGACCCAAACCTAATTTAGATAACCTAGGATCTAACTTAACCGTAGATTGAACCTACCCTTTAAACTTGATCTTATAACACCCCAAGATCTAAATTGGAAGAATTATTTATTTTTATCTCTTAATTAATTTGTCAGAGTCATTAAATATCCAATAATTTAAATAATCCAGTGAAAGAAATTATAAATCATATAAATCAAAATCTTTTTATATTCATTCTTTCAAAATATAATTTATAATGTCTAGGTGATCACATTAAACATCAATTTATCTTTTTAAAGCTCTTGATTATAAAAGAAAACTAAAATGCAAAAAATAAAAGGAAACCTGAAAATACTAATTAGCCTCACTCTAGAGGGTCATGATCCCTTCTAAGACCTGAAATTAATAAAAATCACACAATGAGCTTACAAAGCACAACATATTACGAAAACTATATCACTCCATTCAATAAAAATCACACATCAATTTTCAATCTATTGGTCATGTTTTTGGTTATGCTATATTCTTCTATTAAATATCTTGTCTTGTATAGATGTCTCTCAATATGCCATATCAACATGATATATTAATATATTTATCAATTCATTAACTACATAACTATCAATGTGTAACAATATACCTATCATATGTTATATTAGGCTACACCAATCTTAATGCTTATATTAATCTTATACATGCTATCATGTCAATGAATATATATATGAATAGCAAGCTAGGACATCCATCTTGAAAGTAGTTTTTCATCTTTTCATCTATTATCTATTTGGCATATCAATTTATCATTATGTGTTAATCACATTTCTCAATTATTTCAATTCAATATTACTTTAACATATAGCTTTTATTGAATTAATGAATCAATAAAAATCATCACTCTTTTCCCAACAACATAATTAGTCAATCAATTATAAACTAACATATAAAATTACATCACAAATCTTTATTTTAAAATAAGTACATTAGCCCACCTTCTTGTACAAGATATTATCATTTTAATAGCCAACCCATTACTTACAATGTTTAGAACTAGCTTTTTTTTTGCTTTTTAAAATAAATTTTCTGTACAAAAATTTATAGTTCAAAATTTTTTTAAAAAAAATTTGCTTTAAAAAATAATACAAAAATTGTGTCCCAAATGAGGCCTAAAGCAAAAAAGTACAGCAAACTAAATCCAGCTGTTTTAAATTTACATAGTAACTAATTAATTACAAAGCTAAGAAATCTTTTGGTTGTTTTAGATGTGATGATTTATTTTTCCAAATCCGAAGTGAAGGCAAACAAAATTATTATTTTCAAACAAATTTTCTATCTGCATAAAATCAGAAGAATATAACATAATGGCAATCAAAGCATATAAAGTGCACAATTATAATATCATAGAACATATCTTTTGGTTCTATTTCCTGTGATTGAACAATCCTAAGATTAAGGTACAAGAAGACCACTCGCCTGACTGGCTGTCTTAACAGAGGCTAAAATACATGATGGGTTACTTATATATCGACACTCACAGAAAGAATATTACAAATGCGAAAAAAAAAATAATGATACCTTTTCTCCTTAAAGTTTCTTCTACAGATGATTTATATTCCCGAAGAAGATAGCCTTTGAGCACCCAATTTAGCAGGAATTTGTTTTGTGCCTCGACCTCTCCCTGTGGACAAAGGCTTAGCTTTTGTGGTCGGAGGAGGAGCAGCAATGGCCGCCCAGGGATCATCGTCATTGGCTGCAGTAGACTTGGAAGGTTTTGAAGTTGTTTTTGGAGGTGGCGCAGCGATAGAGCCCCAGAGATCCTCATCGGCTGCAGACTTAACATGTAGGGGCTTTGATGTAGATCTCGGTGCAGGTGCAGAAATTGAACCCCATAGATCATCGTCTTCAGGCTTTGCGTTTGTGAATGTGGAGCTGGCTTTGGCATTATTGGGTCGAGATGAATTTTGTGCTGAGAGATGATGAGGAGATCATTGATATAACAAAAATGAATATAAAATTAGGAAGTGGAAGTTAATAAGTAAATTGTCAGTAAATATACGAGAAAATGGTGCTTCATATTGAGCTAACAAGCTAAAACAAATTGTGTCGAATCATAAAATCAAATTGGATTATGGCCTCGTTTGGTTCCCCACGATGTTTTTTTTCGTTCTTAAATAGAGGTATTATAACAGAGAATCAGAATTTTGTTTCTTCTCAGATCGGCAAAAATACGAAGGTGTAGCCAAAAGGTATTTGAAAAAGTCGCGTATACAAACAGTAAAATAATAATTTTTTCACCGATTGAAATCGGAAACGGAGAAATTACGGCCAACCAAACGAGGCCTATTTGTTAGCATAAATGAATAAGCTGGAAATATTAGGTGCCCAAACAGGGCTGATCAGAAGAGAGTTTCACAAGCAACAAGCAAAATTAAACCTGCATTTGATTTGCAGAACTATTTGATCCAGAAATAAGTGTTAATAATGGCCAACAGGAGATCAATGAGCAAATACGGTTTTCTATCTACCAGTCAAAGATTGGAAGGCCAATTTGAACATATTTTAAAAGTAAATAGAGGTCATATAGTGCATCGGAAACTCCAAAACCAAGTGAGTAATAAAGTAAACAAGAAAGACAGGTACATATATACAATCATACCATGCTGCTTTGGTTGAGCAAACGGACGTTTCTGAGCAGCTTGTATGCTTGCAAGATGATTGGGAGGTTTCAGTTCCTCGATTGGCTCCATTTCATCCCACCCTTCTTTATCACTATGGTGATTATCATGAAAAGTCCCATTTTCAAGCTCACCCCATCCATCTGTTGATGTTGGAGAAGAAGGGGTTGGTTGATCAAGAGAGTTGCTGATAGAAGTGGAATGCTCTGTTATGGTATCATGGGCCTCCGCTGTATTCATAACAATGAGAAATCATGAAAATGGATCACTTTTTAAAAAAAATTTGAACAAGAACCGCAAAAAGGAAAAATATCACAAGGATTTCTTAAATTAAAAAAATTTAAATTACCTGATGAAGAATTTGAAGAAATAGAAACTAAAGATGAATTGGCATTGGCAGAGGCAGCTGAAACATGTTCAGAAGCTTTTCCTTTTTGAGTCAAAGAGCTCATAGCCCATCTGCGTTGGATTTCTTGTATGATTTTATTTTGAATCAAAAGTATTCAAGATGTAGACATGTGAGATATACACTAGGTTAACCAACATGCATTAAAAAGAAGTTAAACTGCAAGCCAAAGATGTTAGGTTGCAGTTTTTTTAGTAAAATGGCAATGAGGGGAGAATAAAAATTGAGTTCCTTAAATCCTGTATAAGTAAGAATACCCATAGTTTGCACCATTGGACCATGGGACTCGAATTAGGATAAGGCCATAGACCTTTTCTACCCACCACGAATGATTTCTTCAAGAAAACATTCAGTAAAAACCTCGTCTAGCCAAAGTTTATGCCAGCTGAGAAGAGAATTTACTCACCCAAGCAAACCAGTATTTCCAGTCATTGACAGTACTCCAGAATCGGTAGCTCCGCCAACATCTCCAGTATTTAACTACAAGATGAAATTTATTCTTATAGGATTAATCTGACAAAAAAATACAACCAAGATGATTAACCAATAAAACAAACATTTAAAAATAAAACATTAAGCTAATTCATTGAAGAAATCTAAAAGTACAAGAAAACTTCAACTGTTCAACAGAAAGTAATGATTGTGTTGTAGATTTTCAAACAAACACTAAACTGAACATCAATTAAGCAGTTCAAAATTCATGTTATAACTGCCCTAGCAAAGCGTAACAAGAATCTTTAATAGCATAACGTCCCTATCAGTAAAATGGCAGGATAGTTGTATATAAAAAGTTTAAAGCATAAACACTCTTATAATGACACGATGAAAATGATAATGGCATAACCTAGGTTTCAAATAACGGTTTTGGTTCTGAAGGTTCAAGAATAGCTTCATTTTCGGCGACGATTTACTTGCTCTTAATCAATTGAAGATGAAAAAATAATTCCTAAAATTAGATGGTATAAGATTTTTTAGAAAGCTATTTTGTATGAATTTGATGAATGGTAATATATACATATATATATATATAATTCAAATAACGGTTTTGGTTCTGAAGGTTCAAGAATAGCTTCATTTTCGGCGACGATTTACTTGCTCTTAATCAATTGAAGATGAAAAAATAATTCCTAAAATTAGATGGTATAAGATTTTTTAGAAAGCTATTTTGTATGAATTTGATGAATGGTAATATATACATATATATATATATATATATATATATATATATATATAGATTGAATTATTTACTTTCCTAATTCTTTAAACCAAATTAAGAAGCCTTAAATAACCTCATTAAATCCTCCCCCTCCCTCTATAGCCGTCGGCCCCATCATGGTTCCAATTAGGAATTATTTCCTATTTCCCCCACCTCCTCTATTAGAAACAATTCAAAGCCCCTCATCCCACCTTGACCGAAATTCCCATTGCCCCTTTTTAATTATTTTCTTCTATTTGGAAATATTTCCAAATCTTCACCCCTCTCTCTACCCGCCGTGATGCGGACATCCAACCGTCCATGCCAATCCGAGGAGCTGAAGATCGACGACCGAGATCACTTTGTTTTATTTTCATTTATTAAGTGTATTTTAATTTAGTTTCGCAATTTCCCTTTTTTATCCTCTCGTCTTATGTAAGCCCAAGGGGCAAATGTGTCTTTTAATTTCTCTTAAAGCCTATATATAGAGGCTCATTCTCTTGTATTAGGATGATGATTATGATGAATGAAAATTTCTACTTTTGATCTCTTTGTGAGTTCATATTTTCTTGATCTCTTGGTGAGTTCAACTCTCCTAGATCTCTGTGTGAGTTCTATGGAAAGCCCAAGGTGAGGGCAAACGCAATACCCGTCAATCTTTGGAAGAGTCCGAGGTTCGCGGTTCTTACGATCTCTTTGTGAGTTCGTTAGCTATCTTCATAATAGTTGTATTGTGGATAAAAATCTTATTTTCTCCCTTCATAATAATTGTATTGAAGATGAAAAAAATATTTCCTCCTTTCTTAGTAGGCCAAAATTATTTAGTTTAGGGCTCTATGAGGAGCTCATGAAGATAGCTATAATTTGACAAAAAGAAATAGGGTTTGCGCATGTATGTGCAACTAGAATGACTAAGCATATAATCAGGATAGAGTGTGAAATAGCTTTCAAATGAAACAAGTATATCCTCGTGATGATAAGGAAGATACAACAAGCTTCCTCTTACTTAATTTGACCAAGATTGGTTAAATGACCAACCCCCCAAAATAACTCTAATAACTTGGTCATGAAGGGGGTTACAAACTTCATATTTTGTTTTATTGCTCTAGATTTACCTCTCTTACTATTGAAGCTAAAAGAACTCAAACTAAGGAATGAGATGGTTAGGCTAGGAAGTTACAATATTAATTTCCTTTTACAATTCTCTCCCAAAATGCTGCCTGACGTTGGGTCTTCCTCCCTGTAAAGCTGCAGCCAGAAATTTCCAGCAATTCCTCTTGAATCCCTGTAGCCTGATGCCCCAATATTGCTGTTTTACCCACAGCAAATTGCTGTCCAGCAATTCCTGCTGCATCCTGTGTGCTGTCCAAAGATTCCTGCAGCCATCAAGTGCTGTCCTGCACCCCGGGAGGTCTGAAATTGCTGTTTAAAAGCCTCCAGTAGCCTTATAACAGCTGCCCAAGGTTTATTCAAGCATTGGAGATTGCTGTCCATAATTTTCTAAAGTCAAAGTTGCTGTTTAGACCCCTTGACTTGCTCTTCAAGACATTTAGGATCCAATCCTCTCTCGTTTCACATCAACCACACAATGCAATGCATACTCCCACTTATATAGTGTGATATACTTGCTCAGTACCACAGCTCATGCCCCATCCCACAATGGTCAGATCAACCTGTCCTACAATGACCCTAACCTGTCCTACAATGACCCTGCAAGATCATTATGGCCCAATGAACTTGTGTTGGCATGAATGCCACTAGGCATTGACCTAGACTGGCCAAATTAAGAAAATAGACTCGTGCAACTCAAATTGATCTCGACTAAACTAGTAGCTGATACTATCCATGATTACCATGATATATCCGTATACCAAATTAATGGTCAACTTATTGGAATCCTCATTCTCCATACATTTATGGCCAATTTTGTTTGAGATGTTATATCTATTTTTTATAATTAATTTTCAACAACTCTTACCCAAATTGCCTTAGAGCTACCACCTTTACCTCCCAATCCTACCGCATTCATTTTCTAGTCATCTTATCAGAACATGTTAAATTTAGAGAATTAGAGGGGGAAAAGACTTAATTTAATTACACAAATTTGTCCCTAATTATAGATCTATATAAGATATCATAATCATGGTTTAAAATTGTGCAATATGAGGCTCGCCTTGAGGCCCGCCTTTGCGCAATTCCAGTAAAAAACGCCTCGATGCTTATGCCTCGAGTTTTTTTTTATGAGGCTTGCGCCTCAACTTGGTTGAGGACTGCCTCGCATCACTGGCATGAGGCTTATGCCTCATGCTATATATATTAAAACTTACATAAATCTTGAAGTAAATGCCGACATTGGACTCTATAGGAGAGGAGGAAGGGGAGAGAGCAGTTCATCATAATGATGATTCAAATGAAGAACCCCTTAGTGATGACAGTGCTGATGACTTATGAGTTCTTATGTGATATGTCATTGCTATTTATTTTTAGAAATTTGAATTATATGTTAATGAAAAGAATACTGGGATTTGGGAAAGATAGAATTTTGAGTTGAACTATATTTCATGTTGTCTTATTATTGGGATATTTTGATTTCACTTCATATCTTATATTTTTTTATGTTTTATATTATTCACTCATTAGTATATAAAATTTTTATCATTTTATGTTTACGCAATCTTTTGATTTTGAGGCTTACGCCTCAAAACGCCTTGAGGCTTATGCCTCGCCTCACTAATGAAAAACGCCTCAATACCCGAATACACAATTTTAAACATTGATCATAATAAAGAAACAAATAATTACAAAATAATGCTTTATTGCTCTAATATAATCCTTCCTAAACAAGCCATCTAAATATGGAGGGAGATCAACGTGATCTAGGTGAACCTCCCACGGATTTTTATCTTAGCCATGGGATCAAAATGCCAAGGGATGGCTAGGATTTAATAGGTGAGCCTCCTACATATTCCCATCCTGTAAGAACAGGGTTTTTCCGGTTCAAGTGAGCCAACCCTGAATGAAAACAGACGTGTGGAACGCGCGAAGTAGGCTGGTCAAGTAACCAAACCGCGAGCGCGGGAGCTTCTAGTGGGGTCGAATCGCAAAACCGAGCAATGGATTACGTTTGATTGCGAGAAGTAACAACTCCTCGTGGAGAATAATTGTTTTTTTGCTCACACCTGTGAAATCAAACGAGCAAAATGGATTGAAAGACAGCAGAGAGGAAGAAAAATGAACTTTTCTGATTCACAGGTGGCTTCGTCGTTTGAAGACCACGGAGAGGAAAACAGGGCGAGGTTGAGAGAGAGAAGAGAAGGGAGTCGGCACCTGCGAGCAAGCTGCTGAATGAGGAAGTTACTTACGCGCGAGCTGGGGCATGAACAATTTTTTATATGAGAAGTTCAAGGCATGTTTTGTGAAATTTTATTTTTGAAAATGATGAAAATTTATAAAATAATTAATGTTAATAAATTTTATTTATAAAACTTATGAGCATATCTTTGAGAATAATAAATGAGATTATCGAAAACTTTAATTGAATATGTTATATTAAATACAAGAACAATTAGGTGCTTTAACTAGCAAAATTGGAGAGAAAGAGTGAGAGTGCATGTATTTTAAATTTAATAATAATGACATTTTAATTAGTGAAATATTATCTTATTATGTTAAGAAATAAAATATATTTAAGGAAGAAAATTAAAATGCGAGAAATCAATAATTCATAAGTTTTACATTTAATAATGTCTTTTGTGTAGGTGTTGAATTATCAATTTTTTGTGAGTAAGAGCAGAATTTTAAAACATATGAATCAAGGTGAGTAGTCATGTTTCTATTTTATAGTAATTGTATTGCTTCTAATTGCATTACAAATGATTCATTTTTCACATACCAAATAATATCATGTTGAATTGAAAGATTTGAATTTTATATCATAATAGATGTTATATATCCTATTTCATGATGTTTGTTAATTAAATCAATATAAAATGATATGGCAAAGGTAAATGAAATAGTTTATATAGAATGATTGCATGTGTATGTTGACTGATGGAGCACACCCCCTTATGATACTAGCAGGGGACGCAGTGTACTCATGCACGTAAATGAAAAAATTATAGAAAAAAAGAGTACCTTCATTGGTACTAAATTAGGCGGCGACTCTTGTGATGGTTGTATTACTTATGAGAAAGAAAAAATATACAGATAAAAATATTGTATATGCATAATATTGAAAGTCTTGAAATAAAATGAATCTAAATGGAATTACTTTAAGATGTAAATT